ATTTTGCAGATGGAGTGGAGATGAGAGAGTATTCAAAGAATAAGAAGATATGAGTTAGATTGATTTTGCAAAGAGTGAAGATGAGAGATTGGTTTGCAGGCAACGTGGGATCCATTGGAGGGGCTTTAGCGCAGAAAGATAACATGTCATCAAAAAAAAGTCCAGATCAACACCTTTTTAAGTTGTCCTCGTCATGTAATAAAAAAATATATAAAAAACGCCATGTGACAGAGTTAACGGCCCAAATTAGCAGAAGGACTAATGGAGTACATTTTGTATAGTTAAGGGATCAAAAAAATACAACAAATTGTTGAGGGACCAAATTTAACATTTAACCTTAAAAGTATATCTTTCTTTTTTGTAACGGTTCAAATTCGTCTCCTTACAAATTTATTTAAAAAAGAAAAACATGGGGGATAAATTTTGTTTTAATCATATTATTTTAAAAAATAAAAATAATAAAATTTAAATTACAATAGTATAACTAATTAAAGAAAAAAGATAGAAATAATATTAGAGTAAAAAAAATATTTATCACCATTAAAATATAAAAAAATTTACTACAATTATTTTGAAATATAATCTAAATAGAAAATTTATTATTTTAAAACTAATAAAATATTAAGATAGAGAAATATGAGGAATTTTTTCTCTTTTTTTTTTGGGTAAAAGTTACTCTAAGTACTTCATAAATTTCTTCATTTTCATTAAAAACTTTTCAAACTTAAGAAGAGTGGCATTGGAAAACATGAGGTCCTCAGCTAGGTTTTCTCCTTGGGTTAAGATTGAGTCCATTGATCTTCTTCATGGGCAATGGTTTTCCTTTGGGTGATCAGTTTTAGTTCTCTGTTGGGTGGTTTCCAACGTTTCAAGATGAGTGGTCTTTGGCTGGGTCGCGGTGATTCTAGGAAGGCTGGGGATAATTAATTAGTGAGAGCGTTACCGCATTTGTATGTGGCCTTGGCAAGGGTGGGTCTATGGGTGCTGTAGGGATGATGTGCGAGGCCCATATGTCAAGCGGTGGGTCTAGATTGTTCCTAGAGGTAGCAGCAAGGTTGGCAAGGGTTTGAAAAGGGACCAAGCATGTTCGGGTGGTAATGGTGGTGATGACGGCTCCTTGGGAGCTAAGTTTAGGGGGGAGGTTATGTTTGGTGGGGGTAGATTAATTATTGCAAGGGGAATGGGGTTAGGGTTTTTGCTTGGCAAGTCTTTCTTCATTTTTAGGTCATAGCTTTGGTCATTTTCTTAATTGCAGTATAATTTAGTTTAGGTTATTAGATTTTCCTTTTATGTCTCAATCTTAAGCTTTTAGTTATGAGTTTGTTGAGGGTTGGTTAGACAGGGGTTTCTACGGACCCATGGTCAATAGACTTAATAATACCCCGGCACTGGAAAGATTTGTCTGCTTGAGGAATGTGTAATCATAGGGCGATAATCAGGGATAGAGCCAGAAAATAAATTAAAAGAGAGGACAAAATTTTTTGTCGACAACTTAGA